GTTTGTATAATAATTGAACCTGGTTGGATAACTTTTTGGTGATAAGATCACTTCAGGACCTGAGATATTGACGTTTTAAATATTTTAGGTTTCGATAATACAGTTATTATAAAAGGGAAACGGGGGGTCTTTTAGAAAAAAAAATAGAGATGATTCTTTAATATCATTATTTCGATTCTTTTTTTTTTTAAAAAAAGTTCTAATCTGTAATAAGTAAATGTAGGAAGTGTGTGTGTGTGTGTGTGTGTGGGGGGGGGGGGGGGGGCTAAAGGTGATCGACTTAAAGCATAACCATTTATCTTCAGAATAAGGGGTAATCTGATTTTTCAAGACTATGAAAATTCTTTCTCATACGCTGAACTGTGCTTACAATATTTTAGTTTTCATCTGCTTTAAGTTAATACAGTTATTGATAGTTTTCAACGTCATAACGGTAGTGTAATACATATCCATTTTGGGGTAGGTTGAGTTGTTACCGACGTCTGTGTATTGAAAGAGAAAGAGTTAGGTTGAGAGATCTTCTACCCGGCATTTCCTCTTCTCAAGAGGAGTAAAACAAGTTTTTTTTCCAGATAAATAACAATGAAATAGAATCGTTCCATTACTAAAATCTATACATATTTTTTTCAAAGTGCGTTATGTGTCTCCATGGTAAAATATATTGATGTAAACTCTTAACGCACTTTGAAAAAAAATTTCAAAGTGCGTTAAGTATGTCCAAAATTTAACGCACTTTGAAAAAAATGTTCAAAGTGTGTTAATTTTATCCCAATTTTAACGCACTTTGAAAAAAAAATTCAAAGTGCGTAATTTTTTCAAAGTGCGTTGCCACATTGCTTAAATATCCTATACTGTTATTTACAGTGTATAGAATAAGATACAATCCACGCCCTTCATCTAAACTGGAATATTTGTTAAGTAGAGCAAAATGAATGTGATTTTTTCGCTATTCAGGAGTCACGACTTTGATAGCTGTTATTTAAACCAAAATATATAAAATTTGAAAGATATTAATCAGTTTTCCGTATCTCCTTATCCGTACCCACTAGTTGAAACTAAAAAAAGGTAGAGAACAAATTATAAACTAAGCATAACTCATCTGTTATACATCTATATCTTTTTAACAGTCTGACAATTTCTGAAAAAAAAAACCGTTACCAAAGTCGTAAATAGAATGTTTGATATTAAGCAAAAGATAAAATAAACCATTTATTTAAATTTTTATTGAAAAAAACATTTGATCTTCGAAATGAAATGACAGATTTAATACATTACATGAAATGTTAAAGCTTTGACCTGGTTTTCTTTGAACTTAACGTCATTCATTCCAAACAAATGGGTTTTCTCTTAACGGATGTAAAACAGTAAAACTAATTAATTTTTACTGTACTTTATAAGCTTCTGCATTTGTTGCTCAGTGCAAAATATCAAAGAAAATATCATTTCAAATGTTCTATAACTGTGATATGACAGTGCAAAATATCAAAGAAAATATCCATTCAAATGTTCTATAACTGTGATATGGTCTGTAGTTTTGCAAATGAGTTTATCGACAGCTCTACCATGAAATTCTTTCGATAATAACTTCAAGAAGTACAAGTACAATCACAAAGTTTTCGCCTAGTAGTGCCATCTGATTTTCCTTTAGTATAATGGAGTATTTAGGACAAAATAGACCAAATGGTTTACCGGTAATATGCATTTGTATCATAGGGCCGGGACCGGCTTAGCACCCCCTACTGTTTGCAAAGATATACTTAATATAGGCATTGAAAACTGGGGTTTAACTTTTAGTGGTTGGTTTAGCCCAAAAAAATGTGAATAAGTAAAAATTCAAATAAAAATTGAGTTTTTGCATTTTTTAAAAATTCTGGTTGGAGGCTCTTGAGCTATTAATAACAATGTGTTTTTTTTTAATGAAAAGTCGTCCAAATTCTGTTGGAATGTCTAAAAATAATTAAAGAAAATTCAGATATATCGAAATATTTCTTTTATCAACAATAATCAATATACAAAAAACGTTAGTGGTAACCTTACAAAACATCATAATGATAAACGCAAGGACAACTTTTTTGTCAGCCTCCCCTTCTTTATGTAACAAATACCATATGGTTACTCAAATCTTTTAGAAGTCTACTCTTTCTTCAACTTTAATCTGATTGCAAGAAGTCTTGTCACAAACTAGACCAAACCAAGGATCAGCAAGGTAACTATTGCTGTGTCAAATCCGAGTTACATTTTCTCTTTTACTTGATATAATTATAAACCAATATTACCAGAGACTTCTGTTTAAACAGTTTTTATTTAGTGCCCATATGCTTACTTTCAAATTGAATGCAGGAAAACATCTGGGCATTTCTGTGATTACAAGCTCTTCAAATAACTTTTCGACTGTTATTTAAATTATAATGTTAAATATTTCGACATTTATTATGATATAATGTAATTTGTTCAATTAATTGAATGACCATTGTAATTTAATTTTGTCTTAAAGAACATAACGCATTTGAAACGGATACAGGAAACTACTTTTAGTTAAAATTTGATAATGTTCAGAGTAAATAATAACAATGGAATTATTGAACGTTATGAAAATCTGTTTTGATTTCTTTGTTTTATATGCATGTGTGTCTGGACAATTTCAGCAAAGGAACTTATCTATCGATAAAACTCCAAGAAACATTACAAATTTGCGAAATTCTAGTGTTCTTGTAACGTCCTACGATTTGGGCATTCTACAATGTGCTTTAAAATGCGCATTTAATAGACTATGCTCTTCATTACTCTATAATTTGGAAAGAAAACAATGTAAGCTTTTAACTAATTACATGGATGAAACCAGTAATATTGGAAACAATACGCAGACTTTATGGCAATACCTTTTCAATCCTAGCGGTAAGTCATTTCATTCTTAGTTTAGAAAATGATACTTCATAAATCATAATGAACTAGAAAAGCCATTTAAACTAATTTTTTCATTGCACAGAATTTTTTATGAAGTGTATACATGTAATCCGATTTTATGCATATGTTTTGCTTGCCCTTTGCGTTTACAATCTTACACTTTATTAACAAAACACGAAAAACAACGTATCGTCTGTAGTAGATATTAGTTCAGTCCTTAACAAAAAGTACTATAGGTAACTATAGTTTACTATTTATAGTTAACTATAGTATATCAAAGGTATTTTAAATATGAATTTCAGATAGATATATAGTTAAATTTCTCAAAAGCAATTAACAATTTTTAAGGGACATGGACACAGGTTCAACTAAAAATATCAAAACTTATCTTCACATTTTTTATGTTAACATATACTTAACAAAGATATATTGTAAACAAAATCAAAAATTATATTTTTTGTTGTCAAGATTCAAGACAGAGCTCCAAAACTTTGTTATCTCAACGAGGTCCATGCCATGGTGTGATTACATATATATGTATATTAAAATGTGATCGTTCAAAGTAGTATTTTTCATTTAAGAAGTTATATTCTTAATACCATTAGACAGATTCTAGTTTTTTGCTGGATCTCGTTTTCTAATAATATGATATTTCCTATATGTAAACAAAAACAACACACGAGCCTTATTATACATGTACTCCCCGCTTGAAAAGTGGGAGGGTATATAGTAATCGTAATCGGTATGTCCGTCCGTCTGTCTAGCTGTAGGTCCGTCCGCCCGTCATTCTGTTACGCTTTGGGGTACCCATCTCTCATAAAACTATGTGAAACTTTCACATAATTTTATTACATATTGCCATTGTGCACCTCTTATTTTACTTTTTGATCTGACATATAGTTTGGATTTTCCAGAGCAAAACACGGAAACTGCAATTATATTCATATGGGAGGCGGTCGGTATTATTTAGTGAGCTCATTGCTCACTGTACCTCTGGTGTGAAGATCTGTATCTCCTTTGTAAATAAACAAAACATGTTCAAATTTCTGCTGATCATTGGAATTCCTTTAATTAAGAATTGTAAACATTTTAATTAATTTTGAAAAAAAATTTAAATCTGTGTCTAATTTCCTTTGAAATAAACCATTTCTTGTATATTAGCATATTTTATCAAATAATTAAATCAAAGATATTTAATGTACGTAGATTTACGCTCTATAAAAATCTTAAAAAAAAAAAGCTCCAGCGCTAAATTTAATATTAAATCAAGGTATCAAAGTATTCACTATAGTTACCTGTAACATGAGTAACCTATAGATAAGTATAAAACATTTTTGTTAGGAGACTATGGAATTCACTTATTGTTTGATTGACAAATATTCACCTCCCTGAATGTTTCCTCACAGCTTGCCTTGCACTATATAACACTAGGTGCTTAAGTTAAAGAAAGATATAGAAACTTTTCAAAATAAATTTGAATATTATTTTGGGGGTACGTTTTATCCATAGAATCTGCGTTTTAAAGAATTTCCTCCATAGAATCTGCGTTTTAAAGAATTTCCTCCCCTCCCCTAACTTTAAGTTTGCATTTATAACAAGATCGTGGGCATTTTTTAGTACCCAGTTTTCTTAAAAATTGTATAAGTTATTTTTTTTTTCGCACCTTTTCCTTTGTCTGTTTATGTATTATTTCAAGCATACTTCTTTTAGTGTGTTCAGATGGCTGGTCACCATATTCTGGACATTGCTACATTTACAACGAGACATCATTAATTTGGAATACTGCCAATGTAGGTATTCTAGTATTGTATATGTGGAAAAAGTACTTAAATCTAAACCAATATTCAATTTCTTTAGTTTTTCAGGTTTCGAGTGTTCGTATACTTTCTTCTTTCCTTTTATTTATTCAACTCTGTATAGACTTTAACAAATAGGTAATATTACCAATTTATGAATACTTTTTTAAGTGTGCTGAATTCTCTACTGTTTTGAAGTTTATTATGAAATTTATTTGACAAATCGATCTCTTCCTTCAAATCCTAGTTTGTATGCAGTCGTTAAATGTGTTATGTTGCAGGATGAATGCAAAAGGCAGGGAGCATATCTCCTTGAAATAGAAACCCAGTATGAAAACGACTGGATAATTACATCTCTATTATTCAGTAAGAAAATAATTAATTTTCAAAATAACATTTCTATTATGCAGTAAAGTAAAATAATAATTCTTTTTGATGTTTACTGTTAATGATGATCCAGAAAAAAGCCTTAGAGATTTACCACTTTAAATATTTCATATTGTACATGTATCTACGAAATGAGTATGTGCATAAAATTTGCAGAAAATTGATGAAAGAGACACGTTGTACCAACTGTGACGCAGATAAAATACTTTAACCTAAATCTTTAATGGGTAATTATTAGTTATACAGGCACTTCGATTTGTAAACAATGCATACATACATAATTATGTTTGATGTACTGTTAACGTGGAGCAACTTTGATGTCTGCATGCGGTATATTACGTGGAGCGGTATAGGTTTGATGTCTTCGGTAGGTTACGTGGAGCTGTAATATATCTGGTCGGTAGGAACGTGGAGGTATAGGTTTGATAGTCCATATTCCTAGGTTTAAAAATGATCCAAAATCGGTAAGGTTTTATTATTTGTTACGTGGAGCGGTATAGGTTTGATGTCTGGTCGGTAGGTTACGTGGAGCGGTATAGGTTTGATATCTGGTCGGTAGGTTACGTGGAGCGGTATAGGTTTGATGTCTGGTCGGTAGGTTACGTGGAGCGGTATAGGTTTTATATCTGGTCGGGTTAAGCTAGGTTTGATGTAGGTTATTATAAGGAGATGTGGTTTGATATCTGGTCAATAGGTTACGGGGAACGATATAGGTTTGATATCTGGTCAATAGGTTACGGGGAGCGGTATAGATTTGATATATGGTCGGTAGGTAATTAAAGCGGTATAGATTTGAAATATGCTCGCGGTAAAGGTTTGATGTTTGCTCGGTAGGTTACGTGGAAATGGTATATCTTTGAAGCCTGTTTAATAGGTTGCATAGGGAAGTATGAATTTTCCTTAGGTCAGTAGATTTTGTTGAAGGGATATGGATTGGATATCTGGTCAGTAGGTTTCGTGGACGGGGTATAGATTTGACATCTAAACAGCAGATTAGATAAAGGGGTTAAGAGCTGATATTTGGTTTGAAAGTTACGTGGAAGAGGTGTTTATGCGCAGTGTTCTGTCAGTAGACCGCATGTGGTCATTATGGGGTTTTAAAACGTCGTGAAAATATTTTTAAAAATGTAAATATGTAATTTACTTAGATGCTTTGTCAATATTTGCAGTTATCCAAAAAAATTTTGAATTAAAAATATATTGAAATGTGCACCTGATTTTACACAAATTCCTATGATAATTATTTTTTTTTCAGGTTTGTGCTCTGTTACCTGGGATATTAACTGTGAGGTTTTTGTGGGCGGATCTACAGAGAAAGGAGTCTTCAAATGGGAATGCTCGAACAATCTTTTGACTTACCAGAACTGGTACCCTAACGAGCCGAGTGACATAGGGACAAGGGAGTGTATATTTCTTATGCCTAATGGTCAGTGGAGTGACGGAAACTGCGAATATCCCAGAAAATTTATCTGTGAGAAAAAGCAAATAACTTGATTTCTGCATGTTTGTTATGTCGTTACATATTCAGTGTTCGTTAAGAAAGAAACAGCACTGGTGTCCATGTAAGATATCATCAGAGAGACACGTTAATAAATAAGATGTCCCCAACGGAAATAGTTACTCCAGACTCTGGTCGACTGTGTAAGAAAATCAATCTAAGCATAATAGTTTTTCCTATTTCTCAACCTCGTACAGGAACTAATTAAAAAAAAACCCAAAAGAGTCACAAATATATAACTTATTAGAATTTGTCACTTATTTGTCCTTTTTTTATTTCTACATTTTCAAAATTATCCACAATGACAATGTATTGTATTGTATGAGTCTATTTTGTTTGTAACAGTGATATGTAGAACCTGATGTACAAACTTAAAAAGATAATAATACATATGTAATTCTGTATAATTTTATTATAAGTCAACTAATATGTAAAAAGTTATAAATATATAAATGACAGTGCTCTTCTAATATAAATACATCATCAATCATAGTGACACTATTTGACAGATCCATAACACATATTTTTGTCGTTGAAATATTGTGATTTAAAAAAAAAAGCAATTCTGAATTCTCTACAACCACTTTGATTACAAAAATCTTAGAATGTATCCGATAATAAAAATCATCAAAAAGATGTGCTTGTATTTATGTAAATATGTTATTGGTTGGTTTAACTAGATTTATATCTCTTTAATAGAAGTATATTTACCAATCTTGACCATTTCTTAAACAAGGCGTGCACAGAACCTTTTTGTTACACAACTATTAACTCAACCTTGAAATGAGCTCAGATGAGCTTAAATTTCTCACATATTAACATACTAAAAAAAACCTTTGGCAATATTGCAGGATAAATAGGCCCAAGGGCTAATTTGTATGAAAGTGTATAACTTAACAATCCTTTGTGTTAATCAGACTTTACCGCATTGCAATTACTCTTTGGAATGATCATATAATGTTTCGTAATATCTTACTTTTTAAAAATTTTATACAAACAAATTGCCATTGGCAATGATATGCAGCTATGACAGCAGATAAAACATATAGAACCTATTGATCTTTCATGTTGTATCAGAGTTATTAGAACACCACTGTTTGAATGTGCCTAACATACATCTATTACCGGGGCTTTGACATTATCACAAATGAACAAAGCATATAAATTTGTAAAAACTTTGGTTAAAATATAAATAATATCTTTGTTTATCAATTTCAACCAAACTTGGCACAAAGTATCCTTATGTGTAGGGAATTCAAGTTTGGTCAAATGAAGGGCCACGCCCTCTTCCAAGGGGAGATAATCATGAATTAGAGAAAAATTAATGGCATTTTTAAAAAATCTTCTCAAGAACCACTGGGCCAAGAAAGATGAAACTCATATGGAAGCATCCTCAGGTAGTGTAGATTCAAGTTTGTTCAAATCATGACCCGGGGGGTAGGGTGGGGCCACAATGGCCGATCAAAGTTTTACATAGGAATATATAGATAAAAAATCTTCTTCTCAAGAACCACTGTTCCAGGAAAGATGACACTCATGTGTGGAAGCACTCTCAGATAGTGTAGATTCAAATTTGTTGAAATCATGACCCCCAGGGGTAGGGCGGGGCCACAATGGCTGATCAAAGTTTTACATATGAGTATATGGAGAAAATCTTTTTGTCAAGAACCATTGGTCCAGGAAAGATGACACTCATGTGAAAGCATCCTCAGGTAGTGTAGATTGAAATTTGTTAAAATCATGACCCCTGGGGTAGGGTGGGGCCACAATGTCCGATCAAACTTTTACGTAGGAGTATATAGGGATAATCTTTAAAAATCTTCTTCTCAGGAACCACTGGTCCAGGAAAGATGAAACTCATGTGGAAGCATCCTCAGATAGTGTAGATTCAAGTTTGTTGAAATCATGACCCCCAGGGGTAGGGCGGGGCCACAATGGCTGATCAATGTTTTACATAGGAATATATAGGTAAAATCTTTAAAAATCTTCTTCTCAAGAACCACTGGTCCAGGAAAGATGAAACTCATATGGAAGCATCCTCAGGTAGTGTAGATTCAAATTTGTTCAAATCATGACCCCTGGGGGTAGGGTGGGGCCAAAATGGCTTATCTAAGTTTTACATAGGAATATAAAGGAAAAATCTGTATAAAAATCTTCTTAAGTACTTCAAAGCAATGATTAAAGATAGTATAGGAAGAAAATGTTTTTTTTTTAATCTTTTTATCAAGAACAGCAAAGTCATATGCTGTATTAATATGAAAGCATTCTTAAGTAGTATTAAATTCAAGCCCCCCCCCCCCTCCCCTCACCTTTAATAAACTTTTCAGTTCTGATCTGATTTGTTTTTTTTCCTACAATTTGCTCAGGTGAGCGCTGTGGCCCCTGGGCCTTTTGTTTTTAAAATTATTTCTAAAATTATTTTATAGGTAAATTTTCCTTATCAGTAAATACACAAGCTACCTATGAAACAGAACTATGGCACTAACCTCTAACAGTCAGTTCTTACAGTTTAACTTCTTGTAAATAGAGAAACTGACTATAGATACAGAGTTGTCCTTCCTAATGGAAATGTTTTTTTCACTCTATTAGGTTACAGATTCTACTTTGACTGGTATTTTCTTTCTCTATCGTGCGATATCGCGCATATCAGGCAGGTAAGGCCAGTCTACTTTTATCAAGATATGGTTATCATGGACTTTTTTAAATCTACAAAACAACCAAAACAATTTCATTTTTAAAAATATTAAGATTTTAAATTAGCTCTGAAGGCAGAAAGGGAAGTTAAGATGAACAGCTGACCTTTGAATTCTTCAATTTAATTTGATCAAGAAAGGAATGCTAGACCTTCGATAACCTCTCTTCGGTATGTTCTACTATGTATTTGTGTATTGACATATTGCTGTGTGTGCCTTGAGACAGTCTGTACGAATTAAAAGTGAATTCTGGGTGCCCTTGCAATTGTTAATTAAATGATTTTATCTTAAACGTTTAACGTCTAACTCTCTTGATTTTTTCTCTCTCGTATGGAGACATATTGACATAATGCCTTTACCGGTGAAGTTCCTGTCTCGAGTGGTTGGTCCTCTTATAGCGGTTATAAATATCTTGTTTGTGAAACATCATTTTTCAAATCGATTCTTTAAATTATCAAATACACTGGCCTTTGCCCTCCGCTATTTGAATCAATACCTGAGAGTCTCTCAGAGACTGGTTTAAAATAGACCAGGAAGATTGAAACTCAGATAAACAAATGACAGCCATGTTGGAATAGCGACTTGTCGATAATATGTAAGGGCTTTATTTCATTTTTTCTTTTGTTGTTTTAATTACATATGTAAATAGATTTTCTTTTAAAATTTTACCTCTGTCTTAATGGTGTCCTGGTTGAGTAAATACATTCCTAATAATTTTGTGCCGAATTTTGAGATTTGGGAAAAAAAACTTTCAAATTTTCGTCATATAATATGACAGATTAATGCTTCGATGTTGTATATCTTACCTTAGAAAAAATCGAAACATAATGTAAATTAATACAAATATTTTTAATCTGCATTGAGGAGCTATCTTAAAACAAGGATATGGAGATAACGAACAGTTTACAATGTCAAAGTCCATTAAACAATATACAAAATGTGCCGAGCGCTTGGCGAAGGAACAGTCACTACCTTTATTTCCTATCTAGCTTGTAACACGAGCTTTGATTGGTTACAAAGTCGGGTGTAAATATCCGTGCACCCGACATGAGCCGGGTGTAAATAAAACGTGACGTCACAATGCATGTCTATCTACACGCACGAAAAAAAATAAAAACAAAATACAAATGTGATGGGGAAAAGTAGGATAAATAATCTATTCTTCTAAATAATAATACAAATAAAAAAATCTTTGTATTGTAATAACGATTTGTTAAAATTTCACACAAATTAAAAGAAATCACATTGATAATTAACTAGAACTTTTTTCTTTCGAGTATATATACAAAGCGAAATAACTCTTTCAATCATCGTCTGCGAAAATGGCGAAAAGATTTGCCTCACATACTCCGTCGGAAATAATAGAAAAACGGGCCAATGTTGTGCCAAAAAATACCATTAAAGGGAACCAAAAAAGCGCAAAAATGTTGAGGGATTACCTGAAAGAAAAAAAACAAGCCTTGGATTTCGAAAACTTTGACGCTCATCAATTGAACGAAGTTCTTTCTCACTTTTACTTAGACTTGCGAAAGATTGACGGAGAATTGTATAAATCTTCATCCCTAGAAAATACACGGTATGGATTAAATCGGTATTTAAAAGCTCCACCTTTCTTAAAAACATTTGATATAATAAAAGATCCAGAGTTTTATTCATGTAACGAGAGTTTCAAAACAGCCATGGCCGAGTTGAAAAAAGAAGGAAGGGGGGATGTGGAACACTATCCCTGCATAGAGGATTGTGACATTAAAAAACTATATAATAGTGTGCATTTATCGACCGAAACTCCTTGTGGACTACTCAATAAAGTCCAAATGGACATAAGACTTTATTTTTGTCGAAGGGGATTAGAAAATATGGCACAGATGACGAAAGATACATTTTGTGTTTCCACTGATCCGAATACTGGACTGAGATACGTAAAAAAAGCCAAAGATGAACTGGTAAAAAATAGAAGATCGAATGAAAAAGAAAATTTTGGAGGCTGTATGGTTGAAAATAAAGACTCACCTCTTTGTCCAGTTGCATCCTTTCAGAAATATATAACAAAACTAAATCCGGAAAATACCCGACTGTGGCAGCGACCTCGAGAAACCTTCCTAGATAGTGACCCCATATGGTACACAAAACAGCCTTGTGGAAAAGATTCCCTTAGTTCTTTCATGTCAAAACTCAGCAAAAAGTGTGACCTCTCCCGAATTTACACAAACCACTCAATCAGGGTTACCGGAACTAGCATCCTTTTTAAAAACAACTTCGTTGATTCGCAAATCATGTCCGTAACGGGCCACAAATCGGTGAACTCCCTTGCTGTGTACCACCGAGTTTCGGAACATGAAAAATTGCAAATGAGCAGGGCAATACAAAACACTGTCAACACCGAGCAACCATGTTTACCAGCACCACCGATCATTCCTATGTTACCCGCCCCGCCTACTCAAAATGACCTCAGCATTGTGTCGAGCGACACCGCATCAGGGGGCGACAATCTTCAATTGCAAGGTGTAAACATTGATGACCTTTTTGATGACATGTATGAAGAACGGTCACAAATATCAAGCATGGTATCCATGAATAAAACTACAGTAAATGTTCAACAAAGACGAGCAAATTTTGCACCTGCCCCAGAGAGCATTTTCCAGAACTGTTCAATTGGTACTGTTCAAATCATTTACAAGTCGTAATTTTGAAAAGAACTAAACGGACTTTAATTTCAAAGTGTTCATAATTTTTGATTAATTAAAGATGTTGGTTGAATTTAAAAATGACTTTATTGTTTTAATTTTTATACAAAGCTCAAAGATCACATGTTCTGACGAGTACATAAAAACGCAGGAGTACATAAATATTTTGAAAGTGTTATTCACCCTTGTTTTGACATAAGAAATAAATTTATTTGTTTTACATAGGAAATAAATTCGTTATCCAGGTCCAATCAAGGATGTACGGGGATTTACATGTACCCCATGTTTTATTCCATACACCCTTCGGCTTTCGTCCTCAGGGTGTATTTGGCCGAAGGGTGTATGGAATAAAACCCGGGGTAAATCCCCGTACACCCTTGATTGAACCTGGATAACTAATATTATTTACGTCTTGGGTATGACGCGGCGCCGCGAACGAGAATCGAACCCGGGCCTCCCGATCTCGAAGCGAACGCTCTACTACTAGGCTACTGTGACCGGTTAAAACATCAGTTAGAAGGAATGAGTTTAATTGCTACATTTTGTACCCAAGCTTCGCGGTTTATAAAGCATTTACTGTCCCAACCCATGTATAACCGCATTCCCTGTACAGCCTGCACGAGGTTCATGCACACATACATTTTGTTTTACCTACAAAACTTCTATAGTCATCGAGAGTGGCAACCATGGAAGTTTAATTACTGAAAATTGTATGAATGTTAGATATTTTTGTTAATATTTTACTACGCAAATGCTGTATATTTATATGCTGATGGTTAAATGCTATAATGCAGTGATGCTTTTTTTTCTAGACTTTAAGGACCCTCTCTACACGGCTGCAAAAATTTTTTGGGACATTGAGAAAAATATATTGTATAAAGAAGTTAATATTGAGCTTATTTATTCAATTTTCAATGTATGGTGCGTGGCATTTATCCTTGGGAAAAATGTTCTAAGACAACACAGTATCAGTGAATAGAAATTACTGTAAATTGCTTCAATAGAGAAAATACATGTGAATAACATGTTCAGTTATTTTATCTTGGCTTTTTAAATTGTTGAGAATACTTGAAGTGATTACAAATTGAGTAATGTGTAAATTTATATTTTTTAGAATTTAGATCTAAGGGCAGATCATTCTAACTGCAGAAAAATACCTTATTATCAGAACTCTTAAGCGTGCAGTGTATATATAGAGGAGGTTCTTAAATACACAGAGTTGTTAGGAAGCCAGTTTAATATTACATTTAGCAATATAACGTGTGGTATTTTAGCATAACAAGTTGATATTGTGTTATATAAGGACATACGCTACGTACCTTATCTACTGATAATTTTCCAAGATATTCTAAATTTGAACTTATAATATCATTACATGTTCTTAGAAAAAAAAATCAGCATGCGTTACCAGGGGTTTTGAAAAGATATAGAATTTTGAATTTTTTTTTGCATTATTCAAATGAAATTGTACAAATATTATAAAACATGAACTCCAGATTTTTTTTCATCAAAAATTGTTTTAGAAGAGGTGTACAAATCCAAATAAAGACATAAAAAATATTGCACGCGTCCTTCATTTAGTGAAGCTCTTCAACTCCAAGGAAGAACCCAAAAAAGTTCAAGCTACGTTGAGTATGACCTTAACTATTGATTATGTTAAGAGTTTACATTAAGATCTAAAATCTAAGTTTTGAATGTCTGGATAAATCTGTCGATGTTGATACCTGACTATGAATCTATATACATGTAGTTTCTTATAATTTTCTTTATTATTACCTGAAGTTGTGAACCTACATGAATATTATTTTGTATTTTTATTTTGTGCAGATTTCAAAGAATGTCTCACAAGAGAACTGAAATCTGCTCCAAACCCCTGAATTTTAAATTAAAAAAAATGATTGTATTTATTTGAATCTTGGGGACATTCAGTTCACTGAAAAACAGTATTTCTGACCTAAAAGTAATGCCACTTTATGTTTCTTGCAATTGTCCAATTTGATAACTTTTTTGTTCTTTATGTCACTCACTTTGGTCAATACTTCTTAATGACTTTCTGTTGGTCTAGTGCACCATGCTTGTACTCATTATAATTCAACCTTAATTATGTTAGGCTATCATGTTCTTAAAGTACAAAAAAAATACAATGCTAGGCCATCTTTTTTTTATATTGAGTCTGGCTACTGCCTAAAAATGGGACTTAATTTTTTTTAGCTCATGGAAACAATTATTTTGAAATACATTCTGAAAAACGTATTCTGAAAATTCAGCAATGTTGTGGATTTTTTTTTTTTTTGAGAAGAAAAAGTTTTCAACTACTTACCAACTCAAATTTTTTATCCTGGGCTGGGAAAGTTGGTCCTACAGGTATTTTATAAGTATTAACAATATTACTGACAATAATTAACTGAATTTTGCCAAGGAACCATAGGTAAGGTGCTGATATTTATATGTATGTCCATCACCAGTTTCCCTCTGATGGGTTTAAAGTGTCTGAAGAGATATAACAGATTTAAAGTGTCTGAATAGATATAACAAACATATTCGGAGACTGAAGTACACAATAAGATAAATCAAGAAACTTTGTTAGTTTATGTTTATTATACAGTAATTATATTTGAAAAATAAATATGTAAATAATATATTACTTTTAAGGGACATGCTATCAAAGTGACATAACATGGACGGAACGACTTATTATCTGACTATGGGACATTACACATTATGACTCTCTAGCTTTCTGAATTATCAAGGGTCACTTTGAGATAATTATGTTGTAGAAGTAAAATAAAACTAGAACTGTCCAAACGGGACAAAATACCCCCGCTGGGTTTTTCAGAAGTAAGTTTTTCCATAATAAAGATATGTATCAAATACGAATTATAAAAGTTTTCTTCCAGTGACCTTGAACTTCCCCAAATGACCTAGGTTCAAAGTCATGACACACCCTTGGGTCATGGGCAATCTTTGAGTCAATTGAGAACCTACCAAGTTTATCAATAAGAAAGATATGGACCGGACACGAATTATGAAATTTTTCTTCAAATGACCTTGAACTTCCCCAAATGACCTTGGGTCAAGGTCAGGAAACACTCTTAGGTCATGGGCAATCTTTGTGTGAAATAAGAACCTACCAAGTTTATCCATAAAAGATTTGTATCAAACATGGATTATGAAATTTTTCTTTCATTGACCTTGAACTTCCCCAAATGACCTAGGGTCAAGGTCATGAAACACCCTTAGGTCATGGGCAATCTTTGTGTGAAATGAGAACCTACCAAGTTTATCCATAAAAGATTTGTATCAAACATGGATTATGAAATTTTTCTTTCATTGACCTTGAACTTTCCTAAATGACCTTGGGTCAAGGTCATGAAACACCCTTAGGTCATGGGTAATCTTTGTGTCAAATGAGAACCTACCAAGTTTACCCATAAGAAAGATATGGACCGGACACGAATTCTGAATTTTTTCTTCCAGTGACCTTGAACTTCCCCAAATGACCTTGGGTCAAGGTCATGACACACCCTTAGGTCATGAGCAATCTTATTGTGGAGTAGTAGATTCTAATGTCTCTCTGTAAGAAAGATATGGACCGGACATGATTGCACAGACAGACGGACGAACAGACAGACGGACAGCTAGACAGACGGACAAGGTGATTCCTATATACCCCCAAGACTTCGTTTGCGGAGGGTATAATAAAAACAACAACAAAAAAAATAAATAAATACATTTTTGTTTTTTACTTCCTTTGTGTATCTATTATATTTTTGATAAATGTAAAAGAAAACCTTTATTTCGATTTTTTTTATCTGTAAGATCAACTGTGTACAAACAACCTCACAGTGACAATTTGGACCGTCTCATTTTCAATTCTATAACAAAGTTCCAGTGCCCTTCATCTAAACTCTTAACATACACAGGAACTTGTCTACAGAAGTCATATTGTTTGGTTTCTTCTTAATCAAAGGATTGAAATATAATGCACCATCAGAATTCTATTCAGTTGCAAGTAAAAATTAGGTAATGAAAGATTTTAAAATCCTATAACTGCTACACCATGCTAGGAGTAGGTGTTACTAGTCCTGACAGGTAAAACCACACCCTGTTTCTGTAACAGTCTTAACACGTCCAATATGGCGTCCAGCTCCACTCGGAATCTCTGAATCTCTTGGTTCTTCACCTCCACGACCTGTTTCCATTTTGCCGCCTGCTGTTCTAACTCTTTAGTGTGGGAGTCCCATCGTATCTATTTATGCGCCATTAATTACTTTCACATTCATCTTGTGCATAAAGTCAAACCATTTAAGAATATATAAATAATGTAATATGGTCAAAATGTTGAAAATTTTGGCTAAAAAATCTCTCTTTCTCTCTCTGTTGAAATTTTTTTTATCATTCATACATATTTGCAGAATATGTCTCCACGATTTTAGCAGAGACAGTGATAATTTCAGAAATACAGCTTATGAGCATGATGTGAGAACATAACTGTTGACCGTTTAATCTCGTTAAGTCATCAATGTTTAAACATTTCTTGGCGACTTCACAGGGATGGGTGGGACTAAATGCTGTACCAGTTGTTACTGCTCTCTGTGTAAAGAGAAAAAAAAATTATTAATTATTCCTTATCCGATCACAACTTTAAGAATTCTTCAATCACCTCTGACAGAACAACCTCGACTGTGTTCTGCATGTTCCAAGAGGCCTCTCCTTTTGCAATCATTGAATTAAATGTTAATGCAAAGTTTTTGCTTATTCATCAAATAAAAATAATATTTCCAACATTGTTGTCTTGGATGAATAGAATTTATCATATCTTCAAAATATTCGTGCTTAAATTGTTTATATTCCAAAACAATCGAGGTAAACAAAAAGCAACCTGTTATTTTCTAACACAATATGACTGTACCTCGATCTATATTGGGAATGTATTATAAGCTCATGAAAAGATGTACACATTTGACTTTTATGTATACCCCCACCCCCCCAAAAAAAGA